CTTATTCAAAATCAATGCGGTCCCACGGCCCTCTGCGGCCCAAAGTTAAAAACTGTTGTTCTTTTGAGGCCCTGAAGGTGGCGCTCAGTTAAGAATCTCTGGTGTACACAACACGGGTTTAAAAAGCACTCACCTTGGACTGGCGCTCAGTTTGAGGGTTTTACTAACTTTGTCAGCAGGACGGAGCTGACAGGGAGACTTGCTTCCTAAAGAAACACAAACACAAACCCCTGATGGAGGTGAAGCAAACGATGCTTTCTGTGTCAGAGTCACGCACTCACAAACCTTCCAGTTTCTGTTTGGAGAAGGGAGAGCGACTGTGCAGACAGGCCCTCTTGTCAGAGCTCACGTAGGACACGGCGTCCTCCATTTCAGCCACAGCCAGTAAAGACGCCCGATAGTAGATCAGCGGCTGCCAGCGCTCCTCCCTGAGGTCCACGAGGTGCTCCGCAGTGTGCTTCTGGAGGTAAGAGAACCTGCACAGACACAGAGCTTTCACCAGTGACCAAGTTCATATTTGTGTAACATGCCGTGTCAGCTCGGCAGCACTTACACCGTCTTCTTGTCTGGTTTGAGCAGTTTGCTGGAGAACTCGCTGAGGATGGTCAGGTAGGAGAGGTACGGCGGTGTAGCTGCATCTGGGGCCTGAATGAAGTCTTGGAATACAAACTCTATGCCGTTCCTAAATATTTCATTACAAAAACATTCTTTAAAATAAAATATATCAGCCGGAGTGCAAATTAATAATTACCAGTGGTGGGCAGCGCTAATCCAAAAATTAGCTCCGCAATTTCTAAAGCGCTTATGAAAATATTTAGGTCCACAACTTCAAAAGCGCTTATGTCATAGAAAAACTAGCGGAAGCTAATTTTAAAGCGCAAGTTCTGCCAACTAGAGGTGTATGAACTCTTTTACAACTTAATCCTACAACCGCTGATTGCTGGGGATGTGACTTCCTGAAACAGAACTTTGGCTCCTGGTGTAAAAATTAAAAAGTTGTTGAGGATTGCTAGCTCGGCTGCTTCTTTGTCTTTTTCTTTTGTTTGTTGTAAATTTTTCATTAAAGAAGCATCAATAAAGTAATTTTAAAACTGTTTATTGGAAAACTGAAGCGATGCATTCTGGGTACATGACAGATTTGATTTGTGACGGGAAACGAAAGCATTGAGCACAGGAAACTATCTTCACTTCATAATAAGAGCTTGGATTTTAAAGTTTTCCATGTAGTTGCTCCAGTTGACCACTAGATGTCAGTCTTAATCAGCATCTTTAAATCATTTCTGCGTCTCTAACCCCGTTGCTTCGACCAATTACGTCAAGTATTGAGCTCCAGCATTTAAACTTTCTTTTTTAAAGGAGCTCCGAATGTAAAGTAAAATAAATCAACACATACAAATTTTTGTATGGATTACAAACGTTAATTGTTTTTGCTATTGCCTTCCTGCTACGTAAGCAGACACAAAGCATTGTGGGAAATCAGAACCGTGACCTAAAGCAACAGTCAGCAAGGATGGATACCTTCACAATATCAATTCTCAGTCTCAACCTAATTTTCCTCTGGGATCAATAAAGAATTTTTGAATTGAACTGAATAAGTGTGTTTATCTGGGAGGGGTGCTGTTGGATAGATCATGTGTTGTGATTCATTGACAGTCATATCTTCTGCTGTTCAAGATAATGATGATTGGTAGATAATTAGTTATTAGTGGTACTGCATTTTAATTTTAGAAAGCACAAATCTGCTTATGAATTATAAAAATTAGTAAGACCGCTAAAGAGCAAATGAAATATTTAGGTCTGCAAACAGCGGATTTGCGCTTTAGCGGGCTGGTGCCCACCGCTGGTAATAACCATATAAGGGTGCTTGTTGACCTGTGAATCATGACGACACACTCGCGGAACTTGATCAAATCTCCGAAGGTGAGGGCGAAGCGCCTGGCCAGCTCCTTAATGCTGGTGAAAGTCTGGACGCCTGAGGGAGCCCTGCTGCCGCTCTCCTGCTCCCGCCTGAGRCTCACAAACAGCTGAGGAGGAAAATACAACCACCGTGAGCACGGTCTGCAGCCCGCTCAGCGTCYGGCCCAACGGTCCAGTCTGGGTGGAGTTTACCTGCTGCAAACACAGCACCAGAGTCCGAGCGCTCTCACTCTTATTGATCTGCCTGGTCCTGCACATCGTCTCCTTCATGATGTCCCCGAACTCACTGTAGTACTGGGAGCAGTTTGTACATTATACAGAAGCTTTTATCAGCATGTCAGAAGTACCTGATTAAATGACTTTAAATTTTGTAAATATTGTTTCAGAATCTATACTATA